TTGTTGTGCAAAAGCTTTTAAGTTTCATTAGGTCCCATTTGTTTATTTTTGCTTTTATTTCTAAAATTCTGGGATGTGGGTCATAGAGGATCCTGCTGTGAAAATAATAGCAAACGAAGCAACAGACAAAGGATTAATCTCAAAAATATACAAGCAACTCCTTCAGCTCAACTCCAGAAAAATAAATGACCCAATCAAAAAATGGGCCAAAGAACTGAACAGACATTTCTCCAAGGAAGACATACAGATGGCTAACAAACACATGAAAAGATGCTCAACATCACTCATTATCAGAGAAATGCAAATCAAAACCACAATGAGGTACCATTACACACCAGTCAGGATGGCTGCTATCCAAAAGTCTACAAGCAATAAATGCTGGAGAGGGTGTGGAGAAAAGGGAACCCTCTTACACTGTTGGTGGGAATGCAAATTAGTACAGCCGCTATGGAAAACAGTGTGGAGATTTCTTAAAAAGCTGGAAATAGAACTGCCATATGACCCAGCAATCCCACTTCTGGGCATACACACCGAGGAAACCAGATCTGAAAGAGACACGTGTACCCCAATGTTCATCACAGCACTGTTTATAATAGCCAGGACATGGAAGCAACCTAGATGCCCATCAGCAGATGAATGGATGAGGAAGCTGTGGTACATATACACCATGGAATATTACTCAGCCATTAAAAAGAATTCATTTGAATCAGTTCTAATGAGATGGATGAAACTGGAGCCCATTATACAGAGCGAAGTAAGCCAGAAAGATAAAGACCATTACAGTATACTAACAGATATATATGGAATTTAGAAAGATGGAAACGATAACCCTATGTTCAAAACAGAAAAAGAGACTCCTATGTATAGAACAGACTTGTGGACTCTGGGAGAAGGCGAGGGTGGGATGTTTCAAGAGAACAGCATTGAAACACATATATTATCTAGGGTGAAACAGTTCACCAGCCCAGGTTGGGTGCATGAGACAAGTGCTCGGGCCTGGTGCACTGGGAAGACCCAGAGGGATTGGGTGGAGAGGGAGGTGGGAGGGGGGACCGGGATGGGGAATACATGTAAAAAAAAAAAAAAAAAAGATACACTTTGGTTGTGATAAAAAAAAAATAATAATAAATAAATAAATAAATAAATAAAAAAAAGCAGAGACATTACTTTGCCAACAAAGGTCCGTCTAGTCAAGGCTATGGTTTTTCCAGTGGTCATGTATGGATGCGAGACTTGGACTATAAAGAAAGCTGAGTGGCGAAGAATTAATGCTTTTGAACTATGGTGTTGGAGAAGACTCTTGAGAGTCCCTTGGACTGCAAGGAGATCCAACCAGTCCATCCCAAAGGAGATCAGTCCTGGGTGTTCATTGGAAGGTATTGATGTTGAAGCTGAAACTCTAATGCTTTGTCAACCTCATGCGAAGAGTTGACTCATTTGAAAAGACCCTGATGTTGGGAAAGATTGAGGGCAGGAGGAGAAGGGGATGACAGAGGATGAGACAGTTGGATGGTATCACCAACTCGATGGACATGGGTTTGGGTGGACTCTGGGAGTTGGTGATAGACAGGGCGGCCTGGTGTGCTGCGGTTCATGGGGTCGCAAAGAGTCGGACAGGACTGAGCAACTGAACTGAACTGAAGTGGCACAGAGGTGAACCAAACTCGGGTCTGTCTAACTCCAAAGCCAGGATCGTTCCCATATCATATCACATTTTAAGAGTGAGGAGCAGGTTTGGAGACATGGGGGAACCCAGGAAATCATATGTAACAGAGTAAGGAACTGGCATTGCTTTTCTTGATGCAAACTTTACTTTCTCTCTGATACTATATGAGAAAGGTTATCCAGACACCATTTTTTTCCCAAGATTATTTCGTCCTATACTAATGTGAACCACATAAATTTACTCATGTTTCAGCTTACTTGAAGTTCTGTTTGAAACAGTGATAACCTGAATTACTTATTTTAGGAAATCTTTATTTTAAAGTAATATAGTAACTGAAGCTAAACTGATCGTGTTGCAATCTAGAAATTTTCCTAGAATAATCAGCATATTCTAATATTTGCTTGTTTAATTGCTACTGATGAAATATCATTAGTAAATTAACTTCCCATAACAATCATAACAATCTTGTTTATTTATTTGTTACCCATTCTTTCATTTCACTAAGCTAAAATTTATTTATTGTTGGTGTACATATTTTAAAATTTGAAAGAGTGAGGTTTTTACTCTTTATCAATAGTATCTTATTTGGTGCAATTACATGGATTTACCCATAATAAGAGGTTCATAAAGATAGATACTGATAAAGAAGTATTTTGCTTTCTTGCCCTTAAATTAAAAACCAAAGTTAGGAGTATCTAACATTAAAATTTCAACAAATTTAACAGCAGCTGATTTTGAGTACTTTGCTGAGTTTTACATATATTATTTCATTAGAGTCTCAAATTAAAAAAAAAAGACAATCTTAAGAAGGGAAGTAATATTATCATCCTTATAGATGAGGAGAGTCAAGTTTAAGACTTTGTCTAAGTTTTGTAGAATCCAGGAAGAATATAATGTTTAACTAACCTGTTCTTTATTCATCCAGTTTGAGGGGCATGTTCTATGGGAGACAATTTACCTCTAAACCTATTGTCCCCCTAGCTAAGGAGGATTCACTTGCCCTCAAGCCCTAATTGGTCAGGAGCAAACCATCTACAAAGGGTGTTTATGATATCTGATCTCCTCTTGGAAAAAAAAAGATAGTGAGACCCTGATGGATTTGGAACATGCTCAGTTGCTGAGTCATATTTGACTCTTGGTGACCCTTTGAATTGTAACCCACCAAGCTCCTCTGTCCATGGGATTTCAGGAGTCAAACCCTCATCTCCTATGTTTCTGCATTGCAGGCAGATTCTATACCTGCTGAGCAATTGGGAAAAACCTCTTAAGTGGGAAAGGACCCTGAATTTTGGTTTCTTTTGTTTCTTTTCTTTTTGGCAATGTCGTGTGGTTTGTGGAATCTTAGTTCTCTAAGAATTGGAATATTTCCTCCCATATCAGTAAACAAGAATGCCACAGTAATCAGGAGCCACAAGGCTGTAGCCCATCCCTATGGGTAGCCCTGAGGGACTCAGGATGTGAAACACAGAAGATATTGGCCCCAGACAGCTTTGATGCATATGAAAGGAATGATTTCAGTGAGCCCAGCCTCTTACATTTTCCCATACATAGAAAAGTACTAAATTCCTTAACTGAAGCTCCAATACTTCGGCCACTTGATGTGAAGAGTCGACTCATTTGAAAAGACCCTGATCCTGGGAAAGATTGAGGGCAGGAAGAGAAGAGGGCAACAGGACAGGAAGAGGATGCGATGGTTGGATAGCATCACTGACTCAACAGACATGAATCTGAGCAAACTCCAGGAAATAGTGAACAAGGAAGCCTGGAGTGCTGCAGTTCATGAAGATGCAAAGAGCTGGACGTGACTGAGTGACAGCAACAATTCCTTAACTTGGAATATCTCGTTTTCTTTAATTAACAATAATCTTCTGCTGTTCAGACTACCTGCCCTTTTCCGCAAAACTATATAACTGGGCTCCTCCACTCACCTCCTCAGAGCAGTTCTCTCAAGGTTACTCTTTGGTATGATGTGAAGTCCTAAAAATTCCCACTGCATAAAACATAACTCTCAACTTCTAGGTTGTGAATATTTTTTAAGTTGACCATGACCAAGGATTGATCGCGGGACCACAGAGGTTAGACATCAGGCTGCAGTGAAAGCATGAAGTCCTAACCACTGGACCACCAGGGCATTCCCAAACCTGAATCTTAAAAATTCAAAACACCAAGCTTATTTTTCTCAGTCTGATGCCTTAGTCCTATTTTCACACCTTCTGTAAAACTTTCCATTAAAGAATCCAGGAAATTTATTTACAAAAACTTAGCAACTAAACACAGTAAGGAATCTGCCTGCAACGTGGGAGACCTGGGTTCAATCCCTGGCTTGGGAAGATCCCCTTGAGAAGGAAATGGGAACCCACTCCAGTATTCTGGCCTGGAGAATATGGATTGTATAGTCCACAGAATCCTAAGGAGTCGGACACGACTGATTGACTTTCACTCACTTACTCACTCAGCATCTAAGCACAGCACAACACACACAGTGGCAATAAAACAGAGGAGATTTTAGGAGAACATGATTTGTTTTGGTTCAAAGAACCATTTGAGAAGAATCTGATTAAAATTCTGTCCTTTCTATCCAGAAAATGCACATCCACTTGTCAAATTTCCTTAAAATTTCGAACTTTATGAGATACTGGGGACACAAGAAGTATTTTCAAACCTAAATATTATTTAAGAGAAAGAGTTTTGGATAAAACATCTCAGAAGATTCCTCTTACACATAATTTGAACATAAAACAAGTCCCTCCTCTCACAAACTATAATTATGAGTTAATAAAGAAAGAAGCATCTTCATCTCAGATAGTTTTATATCTATAAAACTAATATGTAGAAATTATACATCCCAGGAATATGCTATGGTCTTCCCTGGTGGCTCAGATGGTAAATAACCTGCCTGCAATTCGGGAGACCTGGGTTCAATCCCTGGGTTGGGGAGATACCCTGGAGGAGGGAATGGCAACCCATTTCAGTATTCTTGCCTGGAGAATCCCCATGGACAGAGTAGTCTGGTGGGCTATAGTCCATGGGGTCTCAAAGGATGAGACCTGAATGAGCATGAATAAGTGACTAAGCACTGAATGAAACACTTGTCTCAAAGCTTAATTTGTTTTTTAAAGGATAGTCTTCACTGATTTTTAGCAAAAATAGAAAAAGTTGTTAATCATTTGCAATGGCAAAAAGGTTTCATTTCATTTTATAGCATTTCCAGTTGGAAATGAATTTTATCTGTGAGATACAGAAATGTGTAAAGCAACAACTTATTTTGTAGTTAAGATAGCTTCACTTTGTATTTTCAACCTTTTAGAAAATAAGATTCTTAAGCAGCTCTTACCTCATCAGAACCCGATCCAAAAATCAGCAAGTCAAAAGGAATTGCTGCAACCATGTCAATCAGGAACCAGCCTTTGAAGTAGTGTATTGCTATTTTGGCTGGATCACTTACCACTTCTTCATTCTGATTTACGTATGTTGTTCTGAAGTTGATTAGAATATCTATGATAAACATAATGTCCACAATCAAGTCTACCACATTCAAAGGGCTACAGGAATAGCCACATTCTCGTCTTTTCTGTTCTTCTCTGTCATTGAGGAGAAAGGCTGCAGAATAGGGAGTGAATATAGCAGTGTATATGACCAACAGAAGAATAAGCCAATCCCAGACGGCCTTGAAAGGACTGTAGTGCAATATTGTAAACTTGTTGATGCGTGGTGTCTGCAGTTTATATTCTGGTAGAACATCTGCTCCTAAAGAGAGAACCTGAATAAAGAAAAGAGAACCATACACTACATAAAAATGTGATTACTTAATCTACAAACCTATAAAAATATCAACTTAATTATACAGCAAAATCTTTTAGAAAAAATTCATGTAATTATGAAGTATGTGCATTTAAAGGAACCCCACAATTTAGTATATTTGACCCCAGAAAACTTCATTGGTATTCCTTGATAAATATAATTTTCACTAAAAAAAAATAATGAATATTGTCCCTGAGTTACTAAGGAATGGTTAGTGGTTCCTTTGGAAATAAAACACACTGCTATTTTTAGGAAATCATAAAATCAATTGAATACATGGGCATTTCAGTTTTCACACTTAAGAAAGGATTGATTGCAATGATTAGAAACAGCCTACTTGGATCCATGGTCTTATTTAATTTATAATTAGGGCTTGATAAATTAAACCTAATTCATCCAAATCCTCAATTAAAATTTTCTCACCTGCAAATCTTTTTTAATATTAGAAAAAGTGACATGAGATTAAAATAAACAAAATGAGTCTTTTCCCTAAAAGGCTGAAGAAGTATTTAATATTCTGAGACAATTATACTTTCACTTGAACTCCCTCATCACATTTAGGGAATTGTGTAGAAAGAATGGTGCAAGGAGACATTCAGAATATTGATCTGGAAAGGTTGCAAGATTCTCAGCCACCGAGTCTACTTAAACTCTAAGATTTATTTTATTTAATAAAGCATTGCAAGGACTAAAATCATTCACCTTTAGAGTCTCAGTTTATATGAAAAAATGAGAGCTAAACTTGAATTGTGACCCTACTCAGTAGAAAATTTCCATGTAGATTTTAACTTGATTATAATAATAATTTCAATTTTAAATCTAATTTTCATATACCATATGAAATTGTCATATACTATATCTTTTTTTCATACATAATGAGCCATTTAAAGAATTTGAGAAGTTAAATAACCCCAACTGAGATACAACAAGGCTTTTAAATATAACCATAGTTCAGTTAAAATGGACAAAACTGTTTTTAGATTAACAGCTAAACTGATTCAATTAGCTTTGGAAAAAAATAATAAAGAAATGAGAGTAAAGCCCAGAGTAAATCTGAACTACAATTATATGGTGGAAAATGAATTTTTATTATGAGAAGTGATAAGAATTAATTATTAGTAGAAGACAACTCTGAAAAATGTGATTTCACTGTTTATGAAATAATAAATATCTTCAGAAATCAAGATTTTTATCAATACCTATATGTAACTCCCAACATCAACATAAGAATAATGTTTACATAACCTGTCAATTGATAAGTGCTGACAACTCTATCCTGTTATGCTTTGTATAAAAACCAGTGTATGATATTTTGGTGCGGAAGGAATGGATCATCTTGTAAGGTATCATTATGTGATGTTCCTTTCTCAAAAACCATGAACGACTCGGTATTTAGAAAGTAAAATCCAAAACCTTATTTTGACTCTCAAAGTCATCTAAAATATAGACCTTTTCTACCTTAGTTTCTTTTCCCATTAGATTCTTCTGTGCACTCACTGTACTCTGGCCAACCCTAACTAAAATTTCTGAGATCTTCCCAAATCCCTGAAGTCATGAATTTCTCTCATTAAAAAAAAAGGGTAGATAATCATCCAAAGGAAAGAGAAAGTTATTTTTAAATTTATGGATATATCCTGAGCTTGCTTCCTGATTAAGTTTCATGCTCTTGATACCAATTTTCCACACTGGACAATTTGAAGACTTGTTTTAGCAGAAGTGTACGTTAGAGCACATCCAGCACCTTAGAGTTGCCCTTGAGATGTAAAAACTGTGGGTAGAACTCTTTGCATCCCAAGTATGCAAACTTACATATAACAGTTGGATGACTACTGTGCTAAGAGGGGAGTCTGAAAAATTAGGAAGACATTGTTCCTGACATCATAGAATCATTTATTTATTGGGAGAAATATATGAACAAGAAAATGGGAGCCCTGTGAGGTCCACCCAGCTCCTGAGATTGATGGTAGCGCTGATGGGGTAGGGGAGCAGCCTTCATAGAGGAATTTCAGGAAAAGAAAGCACCTGAACTGAGCCTTCAAGTAGGAAGTGGTTGGGGATGATGAAGTTGGAATGGAAAGGCACTTACAGGCAGAGGAAACAGAATGAGCAAAGGAAGGGATGCATAAAATGCTATGGTGTGTGTTCAGGAACTTTAAGCTGCCTTATCTTGCTGACAGATAAAATGCAAGAGGATAGTGGTGAAGGATGGCAGCAGAAGACCTAATGTGACATGACTGGAACCTCAGGCTTTCTTCTTTAAGTTAGGGTTACTCACAGTTGAATAAAACACAGACTCCTTTCAAAAAGAAATACTTAGTACAGAACTCCAATGATTATTATTTTATTCTTATTTATAATGTTAGGTAAATATGTACAAGGGGCTTCCCTGGTGGCTCAGTGGTAAAGAGTGCCTGTGATGCAGGAGACTCGTGGAAGACGTGGGTTCAATTCCTGATCTGGGAAGATAACCTGGAGTAGGAAATGGCAACCCACTTCAGTATTCTTGCCTGGGAAATCTCATATGCAGGGGAGTCTGGCCGGCTACAGTCCATGGGGTCATCAAGAGTTGGACACGACTGAGTGACTAACACTTTCACTTTTATTTTCACTTTCAAGATGTCTTATATGGGTGTTTAGTACTCCCAAGAGAGAAGTGGAACTATCTAGTCCTATTAAAGTCAAGGACTAGAAGTAGTAGAGCATTACTCCTGTCATATACTATTGGCCAAAGCAATCATGGCCTAGCCTAGATTCTAAAAAAGCGGTAAGTTAGGCTTTACCTTTTGATAGGGGAATGGCAGGAGGGTGGAAAGAAGGGATAAACTGGAGCCATCTTCAAGATAAGCTGTCACAGAAATTGTTGACAAGTATTGTTTTTAGATGTGTTAATGATATTGTGCTATGTTTTAAATAATAGTTTGAAACTTTTAGGGATACATAATAACATATTTGTGGATGAAACACTAAATGAGGTGGGTTCCAATAAATCCAGAATGAGGGAAGGGAAAGGTGAATGGAAAAGTCTGGTTATATGCAACAACAATAGATGTACGTTGACTTTTATTGAAATTGGGCAAAGGTATATACTATTCTCTCTATTTTTACAATATGCTTAAACTGTTTACAGTAATAATAATCATCATAATAATAAAAATATAAAATCTCACTCAGAAAGGGCCAAGATATTGAGGATCAGTATCAGTTCAGCTGCTTACTCATGTCTGACTCTTTGCGACCCCTTGGACTGCAGAATGCTAGGCCTCCCTGTCCATCACCAACTCCTGGAGCCTGCTCAAACTCATATTGAGAATGGCCCTACACATATCACAGGGTCTCATTCCTATCAGAATTGAGTTGGTTCCTTGTTAGGCAATTTGGAATTCCTTTTTCTACAACAGAATGTTCACTTTGCTCTCCATGTATCTAATTCATATTATGTTTATTTCTATTCAGTCCACGGATCCTACACATAATCCCAGTGATGCCCAGCCTTGAACTGTTTCTCCTTAAATTTTGTCAAATTGCTGGCTGGGACAAATAATGTTTTAAGAAAATAACTGGACATGCTAAGTCTGCAGATGCCCATTTCTCTGAGTATACTTAGCTACACTGCTCACCAACTTAGATTAAAATACAGCCACTTTTCAAGACTCACCAGGTTAGGCCTCTTATTAAAATACTTTTACTTTATCAGTATTTCATATTCAAACTTTTTTCTGGATTGATATAAGAAGCATGTTTCTGCATTCTTTCCTCTTGAAATGAAATGTTTATGTTGCTTAATGTCATTTTTGTAAATATTTGCATTATATATATTTATAATTCATTTCTAGTAAAAAATTGATTTCTCTTGAGATATCAAAAGTTTTCATATCTTTTTCTTTAAAAAATGATAATGAGTTATATAATTACTTACAGTTACTTTTTTTTCTTGAGAAAACCTGAATGAGTTTAGAATTTCAGTTCTATTATTTCAAAGGCTTCCCTGGTAGCTCAGCGGTAAAGAATCTACCTGGGCTAAGAAGAGCCTCTTGAAAAGGAAATGGCAACCCACTCCAGTGTTCTTGCCTGTAAAATTCCATAGACAGAGGAATCGGACAGGGTACAGTCCATGGGGTTGCAAGAGACGGACAACACTTAGTGACTAAACCACCATCATTATTTCTATTTCCCTTTATATTATTTTAATTGTCCTAATGATCTAAGTGCATGTATCTTTGATAATGCCACCTCATACTTACTTTGCAATTGGATAAATGTGTGAATTGTAAGTTCCCAGGAAAATAAAATTAATTATGACAGTGCCTGGGAGTCATTCTGTTGGAAATAAAATATTACATGGGTAAGTAGTTGTTCTAAGAAAAGGTAAGTAGGATTCTAAGGGGTCAATGGTTGAAGAAAAAAAGCCTGCTACACAGTCTATTAGTCTATTACATTTCTTTAAGAGTCAACTTCTCCCATACATTTGAGAAATAGCACATTTTAAAAAGATAAAACATGATTAATTGAACTATTATAAGGATTTTCTTTTAAGAGAGAAAGCAAAGGAAGGAAGAAGCCTCACTGTACAAAAAAGGGGAACTCCATGGTCTCCAAAAAGACACATTTTCTTTCCTCAAACCACCAATTAATTGCACAGTATAATACAGCCTAAAATATGGTTTTCTTTACTAAGTACAGTTTTTCCCTTTGCTAGCACATTACTATTTGTTTAACCTCGAATGGTTAAAGTGTTATATAAAACCAAAATCTTTATAGGAAATAGCACTATTTATTCAATGAAGATCTACTGTGAAACTTTTGTGCAAACACCAGGATTAATAACCACTCTTCCTTTTTGAAAAGTGCAATAGGGAACGATTAAGCCTTCCGAAAGATTATACAGTGCTTTTGGCAGCTGTTAAACACCATGCTGAGGTGTTGGTAGAGACTGCTCATCTGTTATTTATCCCTTACTCG